ACACACCCACACCACACACACCCAACACCCCACCCACCCCACCCCACCCCCCACCCCCCCACCCCACCCCACCCCACCCCACCCCACCCCACCCCACCCCACCCCACCCCACCCCACCCCACCCCACCCCACCCCACCCCACCCCACCCCACCCCACCCCACCCCACCCCACCACCACACCACACCACACCACACCACACCACACCACACCACACCACACCACACCACACCACACACACCACACCACACCACACCACACCACACCACACCACACCACACCACACCACACCACACCACACCACACCACACCACACCACACCACACCACACCACACCACACCACACCACACCACACCACACCAACACACACACACACACACACCCACACCCACACGCGCACACGCACACGCACGCACGCGCACACGCACACACGCACACACGCACACACGCACACACGCACACACGCAGACACGCACACATACACACATGTTCAATCCGCCTCCGATCCATCCTCGAGTTGTTTGCGGTCTACCTCCTTGGCAGGGGTGCGCTCTCCGGGGCAGGGCACAGGAATGCTTTGCATCTACATAGAGAGTTACGGCGGAAAGTTCGGAGCACAAGAGGACCTAGCAGCTAGGTTTGTGCATGCAGTGACCACCAGATTGCCAAGTTTTAAGGCTCACTGAGTCTCAACGCCAAGCCGCTCCGCAGCGGATGGATCAAGACCAGAAGGTCCAAGCCCACACCCAATGCAGAAGCCAAAAACCCATCTAGACCCCAAGCCCAAAACTCACTATGGACCGTCCACTCTAATGGAAAATACTTTAGTGCAGAGTATGATATAGTCTAGTATAACATGATCTGCAATTTTATGGTAAGCTCCCAACCCTAAACCCTAAACAATCTGCCCCAGGCACACGGCTCGAGCGCATTTGCTTTGCGGAGCTGCTCCGGGGCGCCAGAGAGAAGAAGCCCAAGCCTCCCATAAAACGCCCCTAGGCTTAGTTTGGGCCTTCTTGTGAATTGTTTTTATAAGAACAATTGTTTATTGTTTCTAAAAAAACAATTCACAGGTTCTGAGGGGCCAGAGGGCTTTGAGGATTTGGGAGCCAACACAAACTTCCGTGTCTTCGCAGGGTAGCATTGGAGACATGCGTGGACAGAGTACCGTGACTGAGGGAGACTGGCAAAGAGACAGGTCATGAAGCGAGTTCCACGACATTGCAGCATCGCTGCAGAGCCACACCAAGTTCGACTGCTTGCAGAGATGGCCTATCAAAGCACCACCCACTCGCCGCGGGAGCGCTTGAACGCCTCATCGGCATTTCACCAGATCCCTATACTATGCTATGCAAGCACTTGGTGTACGCCGTTACCGTCGGGCCCGCATGCAAGGTCTCCACACTCCAACATGGACTCATCCGAAATAGCGCCTCCATGACCAAGATTGCGTCTACCTCGCCCAGTCTGAGGTGGCGGTCCGAGCGAGCAGGGGCCGATACCCGGAGGGAGCCATGGCCAGGGCAACATGGCGCCCGTCTTCGTCCCGTCTCTATTTGGGTCCGCTCTTTGTAGCTTGGGGTAAAACCCTTGAGGATGTGGTACAAGCAGCAGCAAGACGTGTATCAGTGGGTACTGTTAGCCGTGTGCGGCGCTGGTGAGAACATCGAGCCATCCGCGGATCGACCAATGTCTGGAATCAACTCACTCACTAGCTGGGCCAAAACGAGGCTGACAGACTTCACTCTACTTCGAGATGCACATGCACGGGAAGAGCAACACGGTTCGGCTAGCGTGATGTCTTCGACCGCAGCCTTTCTCCTGCTGCTCCAGGCGCTGTACAGGTTCAGTCTCGAGCGTACGCGTGTGCATCTGCAGGAAACTTCGAGGGATGCTGAGATGACCACCCAGGAGCCGCCCCATCCCTACCAACCTTTGCCTGCTTACATGCTACCAAAGCTGCTGTCATCCGGAGAAGACTGGTTAAAGATACATTCTTATCGTTGAGTCACTAAGAACAACAATAGTGAGAACACTTACACCGTACAGTAGAAGAACAGCTGCAGCAGCAGCAGCAGCAGCAGCAGCAGCAGCAGCAGCATTGAACACCTTCTCCTTCCGACGCTGCCAAATATCGTGAGTGAGTCGTCTTGATTTTTTAACCTCATTCTCGGTTGCACATCAAATCATCCACTGGTGTGTGCAAACATTGTTACACTGTTTAGCTATGCCACAATGGTCGGTGTTCTCAATTGCACTTGTGCATTGCAACTCTTATGTCTTATAGGTCACGACCTGAATATGCTTGGATAACCACGGTACAGCAGGGTACTGGGCCAGCGTGCCTTGCGGGGCATATGTTACCGGTGGGCCGATGAAGACCGCGTTGTGCGGAGTCGCCCATCCAACTCCAAGCCTCCGTGAAGTTTTCCACGAGAATTGGGGCTCTCAAAACACTCCGACCAAGGGCCTCCAAGAGTGGGATGAAGGCAAGCTGTAGGATTCAGCATCTCCTATAGGATCTATATACAAACAGGAACTTCCAACACTGAAAGCGGCTTCTACATGCGATTCCTCCACCTACCTTTATCCCACTATTGGAGCCTTATGATCTGAGCCAATCCAAAGGCATGCGGCCGAGCTGAGAGGGGAGAGGTAAAGTCGGCTCGGGCCAATTCGACCGTCTGTGCACCTTTTGGACACCTGAGGTTCAGGGTTCAGGAGGTTAAGCATTCTTATGGCATGGGTAGCTTTGTGTGAATGCTGTCTGTCGCTGGGTGTCGAGGCCGATGTGGCAAGGTGCCGCAGACTTTAATGTTGGAAACCTCTTGTGCAACGACAACCATGGCTAGATGTATGCTGCAACTATATTTGTACATGTGTGTGCATATATGGTACACCTTCGAGGAGCTCAAGTCAAGAGGTTCCCCGGAAACGCCCAAACAACAGGCAGTGGAGCAGCCAGTTCCGCGACAAAGGAGTTCCAACCATCGAAGCATAACCACACAAAGATTGTCGATTCCGAATCTGGCCCTTCTGGGTGCAAGAAGGCATCAAGCTGACAACTCAGCCGATGTTTGGCACCCAACCTCAAGGGGACACTCGGAGGTTAGTTAGTTTGGGGAAAAAAACGTGTGCAATGCTTCATATTGTCAGGATTTGACCCGAACAACAGCGGATACCTTAAAGCCGTCAGCGTGTCTTTCACAGCCCTCCACTCTAACCCCCAAACAGGGGACATCACTGTGAATTATGCCAGTTTTGACAGGGAGCGCGCCAACATGCTTCTGATGTTGTGACAGGTCCGGTTACTCCCTCCCACGGTTGTTGTCGATTCTTTGGCTTGCATGTGTGCAAAAAGTGTAATTCTCACATTCATGCTGCAATGCGTGCTTGTACGGCATACGATCATGCGTACGATGTCAGGCGAGATAGGGATAGGCTGGGATAGGGCTCAACATACCGGGATTTGCTACATGTTGTGCGTTCCTTTTGAACTTAAGAGTGTTCGATCCCATCTTCTCCTGGGGAGTGATGGAATGTTGCCCCAACTCACAGGAGCCTGGCAATCAGACTGCCAATGCCCGGTGGGCACAGACAACGGTTGCAACCATCTACTAACACCAGCACTTGCGTTCTCAGAGTGCCACTTCCGAGATTCCAGTGCTAAACCAGCAGCCCGGCTTGTAGATAGCCCTTAAATACTACAAGCCCGCGGCTGTACAAACTTGAGACTTGTCTGTGGTTCAAGGCCCAAGACCGAAGACAGTAACAAACAGTGTTGCCAAGTTGACGCAAAGAGTCCCGCATCGATGACCTCAGCTTTGCTGGAATTTGCTTCCCGAAGTTGTTCTTCCTGCATTCTGTTGCAGAATTGCAAATGACTGCTGCTTCGTCTACTTCAGACTCTCAGAACTAGCCCATACTTTCGGGTTCTCCACTAGCTATACACTTATTTTCTGCTGAATCCCCACGCTCAAGATTTTTGTCAAGTCAGGCAAGCGACGTCCCGCATGATACGCAGAAACGCAAGGAAGTTCACCTCAAGGATTTGCACTGGAACTGGCACAAAGTTCGGACTGGTGAGAAAGAAGCCCTGGGCATGCAAATGTATCTGGCAGGTCAAACATGAAACTCTACCAGCGAGTTGCGGCACTGTAGCTTCAAATTTAAGCACTAGTTTGGCAGGTAGTTGGGAAGCCACGGCAGTGATTTCCTGCTCCTTCATAAGACCGATGCGACCCATAGTACTTTAAAGCTCTGCGGGCGACAGCTCCTTCGACTGGTAATGCGCTCGCGAAAGCCGAGGCTATAGACGCCGACACTAACAGCTTCTCTGCTAAACTATGCGGTGCCATCGCTCTTATCTCTCTAAGCCCCTACACGCACAGCCAATCCTGTAGCCTGCCTTGTCAAGACCGGAGGTTAGGTCGATTGAATTCTCCACGGCGGAGCCTCCAAGCTCACTCGAGTTGCAGCGGGGAGTACAGGCTTGAGAGTTTAGGGTTTCAGTCGAGAGTAGGGTTTAGGAGTATCGGCGTTTTACCAATTCTCAACATACGCACAGCAGAGATGAACACGGTTAGTAAAACTGCTTGTATACACACGTGAACTCATGTGTCTGTAGATGTGTGCAGCAACAAAACGTGTGCCCCTTTGCATGTGAACTTGCATGTCTGTACTTTTGCAAGGAACCTGGCCAGAAGTGGCTGTGGGACAACAACGATATCGAAGTTCTAGGGCTAATGACTAGTGACTAGTGCTTTTTCATACCTGAACATCGCTGGCTACAATGCAAAGGCCTCAGTCTTACTTACCCAGATGCAGCACGCTGAGTGATAGCTCCAACACCGACGAAGTATGAGGTATGGCACCGGGAGACAGACAAAGACTGCATGCCTCAAACCTATAAGCAGTCTGTGGCAAGCTTCCCGATGCCCCTGCGGATAAAAACTTATTCCAGGAACTGCAGGCTGCTGTGCTTACCACCCTAACGCCCCGTCAAGAGCCCTGAACCCCAAAAACCCAACAACAACAACCCAAGCTCTCAACTGCAGCCGAAGAGCGGCAGAAACCTAGAAGTTTCGTCGATTGCTCCGCATCCAGGACACAACAGCGTGCAATCATGGACTTGACGTCAGCGAAGGAAAGCCTTAGAGACGGTTTGGGTCGGATTTAGGGTTTTTAAAAGAGGGGTGCGCATTTTTGGGTTTTATCCAGGCTTGACAGTGTTCTATTAAGCATTTCGGAGCTGTTTCGAGGTTCCCTTACCCTTCAAAAGAGCACTGAACTTCTGAGGGAGTTTGGGGTTGGAGGCGGAACCTCTGACTTGCTGACTTGCAACATGGTAGAAAACGAAACATTACGATGCCGGAGCAGAGTTGCCGAGCAGAAGTCTGCGCACTTGTCCAACAATCTCACGGGCCAGTTCAGGATCGAATGTAGTCAAACAATGAAGAACATGGGAATATGCAGTGGTTCGGATTCGTACCGAGGCCAGCGAAAACGTGCGCAGCCACACGGCACACCGCTGCAGCATGGTGCGTGCATCAGTACGATGCTTGACGAAGATAAGCCGCTACTGAACGACCATCGCACAGGACATTGGGAGACGATTCATGAATATAGCAGGCCGTTCTGAACTGTAACAGCATGATGACCAAACATGAACATACCACATACCGCATTGCAGCACAAAGCGAAGCAGAGAACATGTAGTCGAACATTCCACCAACCGGCACTGTCACGTTGTAGCGATGCTGCGTCGCGGTGCAACAGTAACTTCCTATAAAAATTGTGTCGTTCGGTATCGGCACATGCATGTCTGGCACTGCAACAACATACCTGGACCTAGACAATCTCAGCAGTATACTGAGAGCAACAAATCATGGCCACGCACTGCGAAACATTGTAAACTCATGTGTGCATGTATCGAGAAGCTAAAGACGGACATCAGCAATCACAGCTTTGCAGCACGCGCGATCTGGACAAGTGGCAGTTTCAGCTTTCAAAGCCCCCAGGCCTAGCGAAACCGCAAGGCTGCGGAAACCTTAGGCACTACGATTCCCTTAACCTCTGCACTACACCCTATGCTGGCCTAGCTGCATGCACGTGCCGCTCTGATCTGCTTGAAGAAAGAGGCCACGAAATTCTGCTGCCTCCTGAAAAACTTGCAGAGGGCTCAAGTGTTCCTCTCTCTGCCGCGGATTTTCGGTCGGTGATTCTGATAGTACAGAACACATAACATATTTACTACATGTTGTATAACCGACGATGTCAAATGAATAGAATTAAAAACATTCTATATATATATATATATATATATTTACATACATATATACACATACATATGAATGTGGATTCATGAGAGAAACGGAAAGCACCGCTGGCTGCCACCCCGCCTTGGTCGTGAAGCGAAGTTCGTCTAAGCTCTTGTTGAAACACTCGTAGTTCTGCTCCTCCATGTGGTCACTGATCTTCCGGATCATACCTGAGTAGGACTGCTGTGATTCGCATCGAGGCCACGTGCCAGACAACAAGCGTCGGAGGTAGGATTTGGGTCTCGCCCTAAATTCGCTCTCAACTGCGGCACAGGCACGCACGAACTCGGGGAAGTCAAGACAGTCGTTCTTGTCTGCCTCGGGAATCAGAGCTCCCGAACGGAAAACAAAACGGCCTTTAAGTTGCGACGAGGAGGGTGACATTGTGTCTTGCTCACTAGGTGGTAAACGCTGTCAGTGCTTCCACTTACACCTTACCCACACTTGCGATAGATGTGAGAACCTATCAGCACAACCGATCGGATACTTCACTCCAAGCAACGTCCGCATAACCCAGAAGCTGTATGAAGTATGGCCGGAATTCACGCTGATTGGAGTGCCTGCAACTGGAGGCTGACACGTTTACTTACTGAGGAGGCGCGGTTCAGGGGGTGGCTTGGCTGGCGTGCATGTACACTGAAGCTGCTGAGGCAGAGCATAAGGGTGTATGTGCCTCGGGAACAGCTCTTCCATGAGCTGGACCAATTCAGATTTTCGCCTTGGCCATGGGTGCTCAGAGAGGTCGGCAAGGGACGTTGTACAACACAGACACACCTTAATCTTCTTGGAAGGGAAGAAAAGGACCTAGCCACGGCGTGCCTCTAAGCCCAGGACTGCCTAATTAATTCATATTTCTGGATGCTTATAACATGTCGAACTCATATTATTCCATCCCGGACCCCTCCGATCCAGCCGGGCAGCAGCACGCCGTTCCCGTCCTTGTCGAAGCGCTGGAAGTGCGTGCGAAGTGCAGCGAGCTCCAGCTCAGAGTAGCCAGCCTTGCCACTGGATTTTGGCACTGACTTGCGCAGGAGATACATCAACACCGCATACTGCGTGTCAGTACATCGGGCTGCACCTAGCATCCTCTGCAGAACTGCAGGAAATAACTGCTCTGCTATATCGAAGACAGTCCAAGGCATGTATCCACTCGAACCCACCACACCCTGTCAGAGCAGTGTAGCCCCAAGACTAATATCCGGGCCTTAGTAATTAGACTAGGGTACACATTATACTACAACTATAATAAGGAACCCCCAAAACAGGACTGGTAATTAATTAAGCCCCCATATTAGACTATCCTGCATGAGTCGGCATCAGCCGGCTACAAGTAAAGGGCCAGTCGCATTCATCCGCAGCTCGCGAAGTCGGGAGGCGCTGAATTTGTACCTCCTGTGCAGGGGCGGAACAGCAGAGAAGTCAAGTAGAAACCTTGATGCCGCTACAGGGTGGAGAGCATCAAACCTGCTCAAGCGCCACTTCGACTGCCCGCGTCTCCGGTCTGGCTACTAGTGGCTTTTCCATCTTGGCACGTCGCAAGTCACTTTGGGCAGCAGGTATGCAGGGCGGAAGTTGAAGTCATAGCTTTAGACTGTGTAACTTGGTCTCGCTTGGATCCACGTTGTCGGATTGCAGATGCGGCTTATCGAAGGCAAGGCGCTGGACGATGTTCAGAAACCTTGCAGACAGGTACAAGGCTTGCCCGACTTTGCTAGTTTTACTTGTTGCAGGGCTTCCTCAAAAGATGTGAGTCGGTCTGGAAGTCTAGGGCAAGCTTGGGAGGCGGGGTCCAATGAACGCGTATCGCTTTTCCACCCCCCCCCAAGTAAGCAACCCCTTATATACAGACATCCGCCCTTTTCAGCCATCAGGCGTGGGCAAGTCGGCGGAGGAGCACTCTGCCAGTGACCGCGGAGGTGGGTTGCCCACTGCGTCGAGACATCCGAGACCTGGTCACGAGGTCGAGGGAATCAGAATGTCGGACATATTGATAACTGGTTTTTCACGCGGACGTGTGAAAGAACCAGTTATCAATTTGCCCCACTCTTTGGAGAACTAATAAGTCAGACACAGGCGCACCATAGCACCACCTTCACAAATCTGTGATGACAGCATGCATGCCAAAAAGAATCAACTTGAGTGTCTAGAAGAATTTCACTTGATGCCCGCCCTGATCGTGAACACGGCACTCTGAGTGTGAAGGCCAAAAACTTACCATAGCATGCCGCCACAAACAAAGCAACCGTAAACTCCACATCCCTAAACGACTGCTACGAAGGGTTATCAAGTATCTTGAGGCGCTCACACCAGAACCCGACACGAAGTCAGAAGATCTCCTCAAGGACGCAAAGAAACGCGTGAATTCCTTCATGCTTCGAACAGCATTTGGAGGGTTTGTATTATAATTGAACTGTACAGGCTCGATAGGGCTAACTAACTGTTCATGTTCACTCAATGCTGATATTCAACGAGCTGCAACTTCCAAAGCTCCAGACCCCGCAAGGCGCCAAGACACTCTGAAAAGCCTGACACTGCTTCCCGTCGTCCAGGAAGCCGAAGCCTAAAGCATCGAGCCTTCGATACAGCTTCAGCTTAGAGCTTGGTGTTTTCTTTCTCTGGGTTTGAAGACGACTCAAAGGAAGTTTAGGCATTTCAGGTAGAGGACATAGAGGCAGGATGCTCTATCCGAGCCAGACCAACGGGCCGGGATGTGTTTGACAACTCAGCAAGGAACCCTTTAGAATGGCCTGTCCAACACTCGTGTAGGTTACGGCTGCAGCACGAACATAGCGAAAGTCTGACCACAATTTCTTGTCAGTGCTTATCCGAGGAGTAACTTAGTGCAGTCAGACGCAGTCCGTCTACTGACTGGAGAAGACAGTCACACCTTAGAGGGGAGTGTGTGCGCATATATGCATACATGGTACATACATGCATACACATACCACATATACATTCACATATGCATATATGTGAACATAACATACATACATGCGTATTCAGACAAACATGTATGCCTAATTATAGCGCAGTTATAAATACATGCCATACATGTAGACGCACACGTGCACCCAACACAGATGCTGGCTGAGGCCACAGAATCGCAAATCCCCGACCCTAAGACCCAAAATCTCATGCACAATGTTGACTATTAGTTGCCTTACATCCTGGAGCCAAGCAGCGCTAACTACAGCAACACGTCTACACTCCTTATTAAAGTGTCGATACGGGTCTGAACGAACTCCTTCAGGCCCTGCTGAAATTCACTGACAAAGACCTAGTGAAGGATGGGGTCAGCTGAACATGAGAACAGGCACACACACACACACACACGCGCACACACACACACGCATCTCTGCAAGTAAACGTGCATCGTTGCATCGAACCTACATGACTTTGTACCCATCTATACATATATATATATATATATATATATCCCTAAAAATACATATTTATAGAGACATACACTGGTGTCTGTGCATTTTAGCTTCTATTCGGCGGCTGTTACACCGTCCCAGAGCGCCTGTGGAAGGCAGCCGTGGCAGCTCGCCGCTCCAGATCGCGGCACTTGCCTTAGGGGTTTAACCCCCCTAAACCCTACACCCTAACCTCTATATAAACCCTGAAAGCTCTAAACCCTAAACCCTAACTAAGGTTTGGGGTTTCGGGGATGCGAGGGTCGGTTCGGGACACAAGGCTTAGTGAGATACTGAAGTTCCTATGCCTGCCGCTGTATCTCGGTTCAGGTGCCGAGTGGAACAGCCAAGTCCTGGAAGTGCCATAACCGGCTGGAGTGGAAATTGCGATATGTCTTTGTTGACTGTGTTTGGTTACACCCAAATCAATAGACGGGCTTTGATCAACGCAGATGTTGAGCATGGGCAATCACAAAACCAGGTCGCTCAAATCATGCCCGGCTAGAAGCAGGTGGTCCAAAGATGAGTACAGGGCTCAACAGACGACAAGAGTCGAATAAGCTTCACGAACAGGGTGAAGTCCAAGCGCCCATCGCAGTCCACATCTAGCCTCAGTGCTGCTGACACTGGAACTGCTGTTTCAAGAAATTAGTTCTACCCCTGCTTCTCCGCGGGCACTCGAGCAGACAAGAAAACCCTTGGAGCCTGCCTGCACACCGGCCCATGTCGGTATTCGGTGGATTGTTTCGAACCATGTGTGTGTGTGTGTGTGTGTGTGTGTGTGTGTGTGTGTGTGTGTGTGTGTGTGTGTGTGTGTGTGTGTGGCTCGTACTGCGGCGTACTGCGGCTGGCTAGCGCCAGCCTTGTGAGCAAGAGACCTCCAAACCAAACTGAAAAAGCATGGCTCAATGCAAAGACGGGGCGATCGATAGGTACGAGGATGAATCATCTGCATGCACATGCGCTATATGAACGCGTTTGCCAAACCACGAGCAAACACACACACACACACACAAACACACACACACACACACACCCACACCCACAACACACACACACGCCTAAACACACACACACACACACACCCACACCCACACCCACACCCACGCACATACATCTATATCTATGTCTATGTCAGTATAGGTGTTATACATGTAAAAACATACATAAATATGTATACATATATATATATATATATATGTGTGTCCGCATATAATGTACCTAGTATTTTTACAGGTCGTTTCAAACAACGAACACAAACCGAGACCGACAGACAGACAGACAGAAAGACAGACAGAAAGGCAGACAGCCAGCCAGCCAGGCAGGTAGGCAAGCAGACAGACAAACAGACTGACAAACACAGGCGCAAATAGCAGGACTACATGCACACATCAAGGCATGTCCGTCCTGGCATCTGCCCCATGCGTGACTGTTGCAGAACTATCCTCCTTGCATGCATGCAGGCGAAAAGCATGATGCACGCCATGATCTACATGTCATGTATGGTCTGCAAGTGCTGCAAGTTTGGCATGCTATTCATGCACATTGTACAGCTTCAAGTTAGTGGCCGAGTAGTTCTGTAGACATATACGCATGCTCGTGTACTAAGTAGGTGTACTTGCATCCCTGACGCCTGCGACGACGACGATGATGATACCAGTAAAGCCGTGGTGGGGATGGTGGTAGCGGCAGAGAACGATGTCGCTCACAATGGCAAGGCGGTTGATATTGCTATTGACTGCTGTCGGTAATCATGGCGATGATGATGACGACGACGGTGGCTGTCGTCATTGCATATCTGCGACGGTAATGCTTCGCTTGGTGCTTCTGCCGTTGATGACGATCGTAATAAATCGTTGCAATAAACAACAGCATTGGCTCCGGTACTGGCATCATCGCCTGAAACAGTTTGATAGACCTGCGTTCTAGAAACAAGTCACATGGTGCTACCCCTCCCAGCATCAAGTCCCAGCCACTCCCCCACGAAGTGCTGGACCACCTCGAAGGCGTAGGAGTGGCCAAGCCAGCGCAAGGCCTTCCTCATGGGCATGCTGTATATGATCCAGTATCACTATACTGTACAGTGATACTGTCATGACCAGCATTTAAAAGTACATTGCTTGCACAGTTGCTCTTAGCTCTTTACTTTTGCGTACTCGTCGCATGAATCATTAGTATTCATGGTCGTCATCGTCGTCGTCGCAGTGGCCGTCAAACTAGTGGTCGTCGTCGTCGGGCGAGGGCCCGATGTCAGTTGGAACGAAGGAGGCCGTCTGCTTGCACGGATTTGTAATTCAACTACTGTATTGCTACACGATTCGGGCTTGCGAGGCATCAGCCGAGGATCTGAATCGCTGGGCAGGCAATCTCCTCGCACTTGCCAGACCTTGCAAAACGAGACCCTCCCAAAAAGGCCGCACGAAAGAATGCCGGTTGTAAACCAAAAGGCTACAACACAAAGATGCAGTTTGGCGTTGTAACCCACTGCAGCATAGCCCCTGTCATAGCAAGCTTCTGACCGTCATGCACGGGGGGAATGTAATGTAGCAAGGAGTCACACCAGCGCACAAGCCCACAAGCTGAAACTTACTCATACCCTCAATGCAACAGCCCTGTAAACAGCAAGACCCTCAAATGCAAACCCTGAACCCCATACACCGCACGACGGCTCCATGTGAGAATTTCAACATGCATTGAAGTGATCTGAAGTTCAGGTCAACAATCCAAGGAGCATGTTCTAGCTCTTCCTCATGGTTATGGTTCGAACCTATTACTGCAGTCTCAGATGTCACCAGGCTCAGCGGCGTTTGCATTTGAAACGCTTCCTTCAGCTCGCGCATCTCTGCGTCGGTGAAGCCTTCTCGAGCTCGGAGCTTGCAAAGCCTGCAGTGCGGTGCAGTGTGGAGCGACCTTTCACTGTACCTTCGGCCCTTTGCCCAGCCTATGACTACGTATAATGCCATACTACACAATAAGCGTTCTATATACTGTGCCCTGGCTGCAGCAGCCATCCAACTCCGGCATCTGCCATTCTGCTGAGCAGCACGTTGCTGAGCTCGTCCGCCCCCAGATCCAGGGGCAGGTCTTCGGAGATCTCCAACGGAGGTCTCAGAGTTGTGCGGACTCTTGGGTTAAGGGTAACAAGATCTTTGCTTTACTACACTAAACCATACCATATCACATTAGCAAAAGCTTCCGCCAGGCGCCTCGCGACGTCTTGCTTGGAATGGACAACATGGAATCGAGCAAACCACTATCAACTCGAGGCAAACTCTATGTCCCCAGGTACAGTATCCCTCACATGCACGTATATGTACACACATGTACACATGCACTCAGAACATCTTGTTCTCGGAAACAGCTCCATTTCATGACATTAAGTTGAAGTAGTATCTATGATAAAGACATGGTGCTTTAACATGACTTCTTCTTGGTGCAATATCCCCGCATACGACTTATGGTGACTTCAACTTGGGACTGCGGCTCACCTGGCTCCAGAATTTGCAGCAGAGTCTCCTCTTGCCGAAGTTGACATTGCTTTCCTCGCAAGACAAGACGAGGGGGCCAGGATTTGGGGCCCGAGTGCATAACCAGAATGAGGGCACACCCAGATAAGGACCCCAGAGGTACCCGCATGCAGAAAACTGCTCATGTAAACAGGGCCAGCGAGTGTTGAAGCTGACAATGTCTAAACAAACCCGGCAACCCAGCATCTGAAGCCTTTGGTCCGTTAGTATTTACATGAACAATACAACTCAGTCTGTACAACCTCGCCGAAATCTACAAGCTGCTGCCCCAGCTTCGCGGAGGGCATCCAGGATAGCGTCACTGGCGTCAACATACCCTAATTCCTCAAGCAGCTCCAGAAGCTGACCACCGTTCTGACACCTAGGCAGCACGAGGGGAGTTAAAGTGTACGCAAGTGCGTATGTAGTTCTCACGTGTTACGATAAGCACCAGTTGTGCTCTGGGTTGCTCTCGCGAGATTGGGAGTGCTCGTGGCACTGACCGATTCAGATGACAAAACAGCACGGGGTGTTCATCTACTTGGCATCACCCGGGGTGATAGATTTAGGGGGGAAGGAAAGGATAGGGGCTTGTCGTGCGGCATCGTGCTTCCCACATGTTCTCCTTCCGGCTTACTTCTCTGCCTGCTTACCTACACAACATCGCTATGTTGCTATACGCATATAATGTGCTTAGACATGTGTAAATGCATGTACGTACATACATACGTCTGGTTGTATGTGCGTACATATGTATACATCTTCTGTAAATACACACACACACATATATATATATAGATGAGTATGTATGCATATAATATACATATACACATAGAAATACATATAGATATACATATGCATACACCAAAAGCTACACAGACCTCGTACGCATCGAGTCAATAGCCTGTAGCCCGTATCAGGTATACGATGAAATTTACGCATGGTACCGTTGTATGTTGCATTTGGGAAAAGTGCGTAGAATGCAATATGGTACTTCCCTCGTGTGTATTCGTTTCGTTTCTTTGGTTCTCCCTTCCTCTCGTCCTTCCCTGTTTGCTGTCTTCCTGCTTCAAAGCTTTGTCCTTCCGTCCTTGATTCTAGCTTTCTACCCTTGCTCGTGTCTGTCCCGTGCTTTCTTATTCGGCTTCCAGTTGGTTGAAAACTGACGAACTTCGAGTCGAGACTTGTTGGCTGATTTGGTTTTGACGTCTCTTCGATTTTCGATTCGTCTCCTCATACATACTACAGATAAACCAAAATATGACATGTACAGATTTGTCTACACTATATACGATATATGTGTCTTTGTGCATACACGTACATGTGTAAGCCAAGATGTATCACTTTGATTGTAGCTCGTTGGGACAACCTAGGTGAGGCAGGCTTATGGAAGCATTTAACACACAACCTCCGAGGGTCGCATGCGAAAGTCCGTGCATGTTAGTAATACATAATAGAGTACATTATTATAGGATATGACAGTATACTAAAGTATATGATCGTGTATTAGAATATGTTAAAACACATTGTGGTGCCCGAAGCGCCTGCCATCAGTCTCCTCGAGAAAGCGCCGGATACCCTCAGCCTCATCCTCTCGAGAAGGCAGTGTGCCCTTTGCTCCCCGCGGCCGCTTCGGCAGAAGCTATAGAGTATAGTATAGTACAGTACAGCGTGGTGATAGTAATAATTAGTAAGAGTAATAGTAGTGTTAAAATACCGATAGAAAGAGGGGTTTGCGAGTGAGGGTTCAGGGTTTAGGGGAAGAATGCAGAACGTCTGAAATCAGAGTCCTCGTACAGAGTCTCCAGGCAGCGGAGGAACTCGGCCTCACCCCTTGGCTTTGCTTGCTTAATGGCGCTGTCCGCCAACCACACTTTCAATACCCTCCCTGCTCGGTTAGACCGCGGATCAGCGACAGCTCGCTCAGGCACCTCTCTCTGTTTCTGCCTCTGTGTCTCTCCGTGTTTGCTACCACGTGTGCTGTAGGATTTAGGGGCATGACTTGAAATCTTGCGGCTCCGGCATCGCAAGAAAAGCCAAGAGTCAGCGTTCCATTGCCATCGATATCGTTCCCCTCGTAGAGGGAAGAGATCTGCTCCTCGGCTGCCAGGCGCCCGAATCCCTCTGCACGGTCCGACAGGCCTGAAATCAGAAAGCCCAGAGCTTGGCGAATTCGCAACCGACCCCAAGCCCTCAATCCCAACCGAACGCCTGAGCCCTAAGCGTTCACTCCGAATCTGAAAATCCTTATCGAACCCGAAACTCCTAAACCCTGCTTGAGTTCTAGCTTCAGCTAAAGCCCTATAACAACCCCAAACAAAGCATAGTCGATCCCCAGAACCCAGAACCCTACACCAACAAAAACACCAAACGGTCCACCCTAGAAGTTCCGAGCTTAAAATCCCTGCAACATCACTCATCACACCGCTTGAACCCCCTTCTGAAAGCAAAAATATAGCGTCTTTGACCATTTCAATACTGGGTATGTAATAATCTCCGGGTATGCGACCATATATAAGGAGCAGTTTTACCCGTTAACTCTTCAGCCCTCTGAACAAAGACTACAAAGACCCTGCTTCGTCCCCCACAAACCCTTATACACGCCTTACGGCCTTTCGGAACCCTGTATACAACCCTGAAAGCAACGATAGCACCCTCACCCTATAAACAAAAGCTCGCGATAACACCATACAGCCCCCTAAACCCTAAACCATCAACATACTATACCGTACTATGCTATATACTAAAGTTCCTGAAGTATAGAATGGCATACTACAGTATACCAACAAATGTCTTCAAGAAAGCCGAGGCACAGAGGTGATAGGGAAGCCGAGCCAGATTAGGGCGCTGCTCAGCTCGCTCACCTGAAAGGCTTGAGGGTTTAGGGCAACGTCAGGGGCCCGTTCTTGACAACTGGGGGGGGGGGGGTCCTGCGAATATCGAACCTCGGGCTGCTGGCGTACTGTTTTTGGTCATCGAATCTACTGAGGTAGAAAACGGAACGGGATTTCGGGGATCGGGGCGGGTGGGAGGCCCAGGGCTTCTGTGTGGATCTCAATCCTAGCCTCCCACAGCTTCTTGCTTGCTCCGGGGTCGTCAAGCCGCAACACTCTGAGCAGCGACTAAGCATCTTGGTGAGAATCGCGTTGGTCTGGCCGAATCTGTTGATGATTTTGCCCTAGCTGAGCTAAAGCAAGAGCCTTCTGGCAAGATTACTGAGCTATACCTCATGCTGAACTTTACTCCTTAACCAGAGAACAGAAAACTGCACCCCTCCAAGCAACCTGAAAGCCATCGAAGTAGAAAGTCTCTCTCAACTATTGTAGAAGGCAGGCATTTGGGTGCTGCCTTGAGGTGACGTGCTTTGTAGGGTGTAAGGCTTGCGGTTTCAGGATGTGGCCTGCCCACAGGGTTGACCGTTTCTCTTTGTACTACCCTGGTTAGGGAAGGTGGCCCAGGCTTGACAAGACCTGCCCTGCTTCAGAAGCCCGTCCTGCATTCCGCCCGAGCGGTCCCGATCGAAGACCTTTCACGGCAAGGTGCTCGGGAAAACGCTGCTGGGTCCAAGTTAGCTTCCCCTGAACCTTGCGTTCCCATTCCGAGGCCCCGCAATCATCGAAGATGCTGCGAACTCCACAACTCGGCGCCCTTCCTCTTCTTGTGATCTGCTGATTGTTTGTTTGCTCGTCTAGGTCCAGGCCTTGAAGACGCTCTGAAACTGGTCAAGCTCCTGGCCATCTCTGGAGATCATGGCCCCCAGCGACTAGGACTAGGACTAGGATGTCATGGTTTCAGGGGGCTGTAGCCAGATAGTATAGAGGAATCGTATAAGGGAATCATAGAAATTGTCTCTCTCTGCGTCACGAAACCATGCCGTCCTTTGTATGTGCGTGTCAATTTGTATTAACTCCGAAGTGACACCTGCGGAAAACTGCAGAGCATGAACATCAAACGAACCACGATCCTCTGATTCCTTCTCAAGATGCTCCCAAGCTGTGCTTGCACTGACATCCTCTATCATCACTACCGCAGGCTTTACGGCCCTCCTGGCGGAGGAAGCCATGGCGAAAGCGGACAAGCTCCAGCAGCCGCTCGAACTCGGTGAAGCAGAGGCCTGGGTGCAAACGACTATGCAGGGCCTGGCCTGCTGCAGGAATGTCTGTTTAGAGCTTCAGGCTTTGTTGGGGGTGCTTTGTGTTATTAACGGCACTGTAGGACCCGGATTTATAAACATCCACTAATTGACAGGATCAGAACAGAGATGTTACCATCAAGCCTGTGAGGCACTAGTATCATAGCCCAGACAAGCACCAGCTACCATCAAAGCACGGGTCAGGGTATGGTAACGTTCTGAGCTTCGGAGCGGGATAGATTGTGAACTCTGGATTTTGGGGTGAGCACACGCGCACACACACACAGGCACACACACGGTGTGTCTGTCTGTCCGTCTGTCGGTCTGTGTGTGTGTGAGCGTGTATGTTCGGTTTTGAAGACTCGGTGGCTGCACTGACGCAAGATCACTAAGTCTCCTGCCCAAGGCCGCGTCGCCCACCTGTCAGGCGAATCTCAGATGAAGACGGGCATCTCACAGACGAACACGTACCGAAGATGAAACGGGGATGCCACCTCAGCGACGATCTCATCAATCACTGCCAGGCGAGGAGTGAGTTCCTGGGCCATCGGTGTAACTGTCCAAAACCGTAGTGTCTCATCTCGTACTGCGTAAACAACCGATAAAAAAACAAGCTAAGCCCGTCTTCGGCCTGAATGTTCTATCAACAGAGAGTCCAAGCTGGCCAGCAAGCGCCGGAGGTCCTTTGTCTGAACGCGACCTGCGACAACAGTACTAAAGGGCTTCGGGGCTTTGCAAAGGCTTCGGGAGCCGGGTTCTAGGCCTAAGCTTTGGGATTTAGTTTTTATGCTCGATCGTCGCAGTTTAAGTCCGCATTAGTACGCATCGCGCTTGCATCGTGTGAATTTCAAGCCATGCATTTTTATGTTCTAGCTGAGAGAGTCTTGTACTCTGGAACCTTTGAAGTTACAACTATATTTGCGGTGTTCCAATGAGTTTTTACAGGATCATTACGACAATAGCAGGTACTGCCACCCTCCCTGACCATCATTCTCGTTGCTGTTGATGATGGTGATGATGATGATAATGATGATGATGTTGATGATGATGATGATGTGGACAAGCTGCCCCTGCATCCCAAGAGTGACCCTCGACGACAGACCGCTCGCACTTCTGTAAACTCACAAGTCTCAATGTCTGAACAACCAAAGCTCAGCCCTCCCAAGTCCGGAAGCGCGAACCCCAAGCCACAACGAAAAGGCTACCCGGCAGATGGATCCAACAATGCTGCCTTGGAAATCCGGATCGAACTTCTGGAACTGCTTCCTCGGCAATTCCGTCGTTCTGAGATGAGTACGCAGCTCCGTGATCTGCTAATTGCAACCAGGGATCAGGTAGTTGTCACGCAACTGCTCTTCATACCTTGGTTGCAGGTTCTTCCAGCGAGCAAGCACTCAATGTGACTCGGAATTCTTGGGCCCCTTGAGCTTGGGTCTCTGTACTGTGTTTGGGTTCAGAGTTTGCGGGTACCAGCAAAACAGCCATGCTACAATCTTGGTGCGCAGTCAAGCATCCAAAGCTGGAAAGGTTCAGCAGGTCTTTCTTTCTCCAAAAACAACATGTCGCCCAGGCACATTCTCATGAAGTCTAGGTATTCATCTTGATCCAGCGTGTTGTAATCCTGGGATCACAGGCACCCGACACAGAGAGCGCAGACTCGTGCTTGAGTGGCATTATATAGTTTCCATCGAAACGGTAGAGGAGAAAACTTTTAAGTGTCCGAAAGAAGAAGTGCTCGAACTACTGTAACAGTGTTTTTTTGCTGGGGTCTGGGGTGACATGCTTCTGCTAGCTCGTCACGCCTTCGCTTCCGCAAGCTTTTCACATGAACCATGCGCACAAGTTTGACAAAGTCATTGAAATGCCCGGCATGTTGTTTGTGTGTGAGCGCCAACAGGGGCTCTTGAACCATCAGACAAGTCTCAGAAACTGTTAGAACCGTGTTCAGAAACAGCCCCAAACCGTCCGGAACCGTTCCGAAGCGTCGGAACGATAGTAAAGTGCCGATCTGGGCTTCAAAGTTCGAAGGGCCGAATAGGTCTCGACTTTAATATGTCACGATTCTTGAGGCCAGAAAACGCAAGGACAGACACCCTCTATTAAACAGACCACCAGCGATTCCAACGAAGTCAAGTGTTTCGGAGTGCTTCAAGCCATTTGTGGTGTTTTGGACGCAAAAATCCGCAAGAAGCCGAAGCAGGCTCGGAGCCAGTGGGTTGCCAGGGCCTTCCGGGTCTTCTTGGGTTGTTCACACTGAGGTCCGGCATGACAGCGTCTGCAACTTCCGTGACCGCGGCACCTTCCGCTGTGATCACGGGTGGCCCCAACGCAACTGACACATTGTGCTGATACCAAGAATTTTCGCCTGAGCGGGACCATTGCAGCATGTGTGCCGACTGTCAAGGTCGCAAAGCCTTTCGCCAAGGCTGCATGTGAAGCAAGCCAACTTATCGTCTCCAGCAAGACCATTCCGGGCAACGTCAATGGCTAGAAATTGCCGGGTGTCTGGGTCTTGCAACGGGCCATACTGAACAGGCTCTGTAAGCGTTGAATACGAACATGAGCAGATTTCAGGCTGAAACTAACTTATCTGAGACTTTGAAGCATGCGACCTTCGGGTCATTGCCCGACTCAAACAGCGCATGCCCGATCATATTGCACGATAGATAGCCCAAGCCCCGGACACTTCGAATTGCTAAACCAGACCGAGAACACCATCTGCCGGATCTTGCGGGGGACAATGGTCAAGGTGATTGAGCGGCGTAAGCGGCCAAGCTATTCGGTCACAGATATCACTGCTTGTTCTGACTGTCACATTCCTCATATTCCTCCACATGCCCCAATAAATGCAGGCTCCTCAACAAGACCTGTCCGCTAGCCTGGCACCTCAGGTTGTGCAATTCCCCTCAGCTTTGTGCGTTCCAGACTCCTGGACACATGCGGAGTTTTTCTTGGCTTAGCCGCAAGGGTTTGCGAATGCTGCGTGGCGATTTAACGTGTCAACTCCCGAGCCCTTCGAACCCCGACATGCTTTGATCAAGCGAGCTCACTACTCTCGAGCCCAGATTCCGTGATTTGGGCCAACACCGAGGCAACGATGTATAAGCGGCAGTCCTGCCCAGGGAGACACCAGTAAACATTGACAACCCAGTGGCTCAGCTAACACACGAAGACCGGCACAAACACGCGCAAACACAACCACGGTACATTGGGCCAGCGTGTAGCCTAAGTGCACCCGACCCGACTTCCCTGAATCTGAGTTCGACGAAGCAAAAAAGGCGGGAAAGGCTAGCCCAGAGTCCTCAAAACCGCAACGCTGCAGGGCCCTGGGCAGGTCGTCCGCATGGATCTCACCATCATAACGGAACTCCTGCCATGTTTTTGGAGGAAAAGCAAGTCGAGCAACTCGAATGCAGCCTTCGTGACACAGACATTGACAGAAAGCCGCATCACGGCTTCGACTAGACGGTGTCTGCAGGTGCAAAGACATGATTGGAGGTACCTTGCTGTCTTTATGCTTGCGGCGGTTAGCGACTACCCTGATATTGCAGAAGCAGGACGCGAGGCCCTACGACCATCTTCACTGCTGCATTCATATATCCACCTGCGATTCTGCGATACCCCACGCCCCAAATCACACTCCTGAAACGCTTCGAGCCATCCGCCTCGGCTGCGGAGTTCCACTGGGCGGACGTCATTGAATCTATGTTATGATACCACTGCACCATCCTTGTGATAAAAGACCCGTGCAGGCATCTGAAGAACGTGTAACACACACATACCGTGTACCCGTAGACATGCATGCATGTGAACATATGCCTCCATGAGTTCCAGAGTGCATGCCAGTGATCTTGGTGGGTGGCATTACTTGTTCGTCAACATATCGTATATGTATATGCATCTGTGTGTATAAATAATACACATGCATACTGCGCCTACGTACATGTGCATGTGAGCAGGTACATGCAAACATGCAGTGCACACTTCTTAGAGTCTCTCAAGTAAGAAGCATTGCATAGGACCCAATTTCAGGGATCCACTCGTCAGCCTAGCTTGTCGGCGTGGGCACTCACTGCAGTTTCGCCAACAGTATCTGCTGTTGGTGTCAGGTCGACCGGAATATCGGCGTAACATCCAAGCTCCATCGTGCAACACATTGCACGGAAGTTGGTGTTGGAACAAGCCCAATACAGTCATGACGAAAGCGTAAACTAAGACTAGCTTTTGACACCCTCTTGCAGTGGATTGCAGCCAAGCAGCGACGCACAACTCGAGGCACTGGCTCGCCCATGGAAATCCTCGAAGCAAGAATGGTAGTAACAGTAATACTATGATGATAACAATACTAGTGCCGGGAGTAGTGATAAAAAATCATTATCCTATGTACTAGCAATGGTTGTAAAACCAAGACGTGGGCAACACCAGCGCGACGAAAAGAACAAACAAGGCTTGTCAACGACAGCTTGATTCTGCAGAGAAGAGAAGGCCGTTTCACACAGCAGCTAATTTTAAAAAACCTTGCTGAAACATCGCAGCTGGATGCACAGCAGGTGCAAGGCATGCGTCAAAAAGAGAAACACCAAAGACAAGACGTATTGTCCTCGGCTTCACCGAGGATTTCCTGGGCTGCTTGCTCGCCTGTCACGCCCAGAACCGAGGACTAATCGTTAGCAACATGTCTCATGTTGTGCTTGCTCACACCACTTCCGCCGTAGTGATGAACAATCAGAAACCATCAACATCAGACGAGTCACACCGTCTTTGCAAAACCGCCTACGCATCACCCTTGCATTGTCGTTCGTGTTGGATGCGTCGCAGCCTGGTCATTACCACTTTTGTGGCTTGACGTAGTCGCTCGCTCGCTGACAGCATCGAGGTCATTGCGTATGAACACTGCTGCAGCTGATGACGACGATGATGGCGATGCTGATGATGACGAAGGCTAGGTTGATGATGAGGAGCTCTAGCAGAAACAGCGAGGCCGGAGTACAAAGTTGTATCCAAACAATCACAAAGCCAAGGCGCAACAAAGACGCGAGCAAAACATGCAACGCGGAAGAAGAGGTACAAGCATAAGCTCATCTTCATCATCATCATCATCACCATAGTCGTCATCATCGCCATTTCTTGTCATGGCGGTTGGGCTTGGTGGTTTGTTTGACAAAGCCGCGCGGCTCTTGTGCATCTAAAGGCGGCTTAGCTGTGTCTTTGATTCTATTCTCCTTGACCCGTGACTTGCCTCGACCATCTGATCGGTCAGAGAAGGCTGCCTCCTGATGCTCATGCAAGCTGGACTGAATGGGGTACGGCAGCAGCAGCTCAGTAGCGGACCCAAAGGGAACAGAATTTGGGTTCATTCAAGAGCCCCGGTTCCGAAGCATCCCGGAGAAAACCCTGCAAGGCCTAATCTGCACCCCACACACTCCGCGCCTGAGAACGACCCATCACTCTCGCATCCCAGTCCAAGCCTTCAACTTCAACACTAGGCGCTGACCTTAGCTTTGCGAGCCCAACATCTCAAATCCCTGGCACGCCCTAAACCCTAACC